AATCTTACACAAGCACAGATGATGACGAGGACTCAATAAGGAACTTCAGAATCTCAAGAACTCAGTGAAACTCCTTTGCACAGAGAACAACCGAGTTTTTCATTTTTTCGTTTCAAAATGAAAACCTCTCAACTCAACTGAAACCCTTCTAAGACAAAAGAAAAATGAAATAAAACGAAGAAGAAGCTCTCTAAATCACAAAATAATAAATATAAATAACTGTTTTTTCTTTGTTTATTGATTGATTCGAATCAACAATTGGCAATAGAGCACATGTTATGAGCCGACTCGGTATGTCGGCGACATGCCGAGTCTTCAGTGAATTCTGCTTTCTACGGGATTTTGAAGTGAAGTTTGGGATTTTTCTATGTAATTTTTCATTGAAAACAATAAATAGGCATCATATTCAAGTTTAAAATGAAATTCTGATCTGAAATAACCCAAAAAACAGCCGATTTCATCAATTTTGAGCCAAGTTACATTGTTTTCCCGAAAGAGAACGACCGGGTCATTTTTTTTCTCACGTAAAAATTATTTTCACGTGGCGCGTTCCCGAGAGGGTATATAAGCTGTGGGCCAACCGAATCACGTCAGTTGGTGGTGTGAGCCGGTGAGCTCCACTCCTCTCTCTCTGGAGGTCCTTCAGAGAGGGGAGGGAAGCCCATTGACTCACAGGCAAGGGATGAGGCCTGGACAAATCCGGGTCTCATTCATAGAGCACCGGAAGGTTGAATTTCATCCAAACCGCCCAGAACGGTTGCATTCCACACTCCTTGATATGGAGGAATCGGATTGTGAACTATGTAGATTCAACCATATATAATATGAAAAATTAATCGAAGGTTAGAGAAACAGTGAAACAAAACAGTGCGAAAATTCATTAATTACTATTCTTATGAATCACATCGATTGGAATAATCAAAGGAGTTTCTTTCTTCTTTGGACACTTGATCGTCAATCTACCGTCATTGAAAGAGCTAGTGATGGCAGACTGGTCAACATCAGTAGGTAAGGTCCATCGACTTGTGTATGATCTTTCGACAAAGTTTCTCAAGTTGTTCGATTCTTGCTTAGCTTCAAGACATAGAAACGGACCGTCAACTTCGACCACCAGATCTATCAAGTTGAAGTAGGAAACATCGACGAATATTGTGAAAACTTCGTCATTGTTGACAATCTATACGAAGTGAACATGATACGAAGCAATTTCAAATACTCACAGGGGTGTATTCTTCTCCGAAGCCTTGATAAGTTGGAACATTCGACGTATGGGATTGTAAACTTAATGTTGTGAAAGGTAGGGTGGATGGGGAATATCGGCCACATCGTGTATTCTGAACGTGCTCAAGCATTGTTGGTTTTGCGATCAGAAAACTCAAGCGAGTTTTATAACAACCTTATCTTTAACTCATTCATGAATTATCGATAATTCAAGGGTCTATAGACAACGCATGAATGACTCATGTGAGTATGAAAACTGAATGACTGCTGTTTTTGATATCTTAATCAGTAAATGAAAAGTAAGAAACGCGTAAAACCTCACTTTTGCTCATAGTTGTGATGTATGGGATGCTCGTTGTCGTCTCCCCATGTGAGTTGAACACATTTCCATGATTGGTTGGTTGAAAACTAGAAAGCTTACCGACGTTAGAGAGATTTACTTTAGCTTTAGATCCGAAAGTTTGACACGAAAAAATGGCAGAAAAAAATATTCAGCGTAAGAACACTATCGATTAAGATTGTTACCGAGTAATATTATACACCGCAGTAGGGAACACTAAAGGGCAATATCAACATTTATTTTTTTATCGATTTTCATGAACAACTTCGATTCTAACAATCACAGGTTCTTTTTTCTTCTTTGGACAATTGATTGTTAGCTTTCCGTCATATAGAGTACTTGTAATAGCATTTGAATCAACATCTGGAGGTAATGTCCATCGACTGGTGCACAATCTCTTCACAAAGTTCACTTCGTTGCTGGACTCTTGAACAGCTTCAAGACAGAGGAATGGACCATCAACTTTGACTTCAAGTTCCTCTGGATTGAAATAGGAAATATCAACATAAACTACAAATCTTTCTTCATTATTGATTATCTGAACATTGAAAATGATAATTAGGACAATTATAAATAACTCACAGGCTGATATTCCTCCCCGAAACCTCGGTGGATTCTCGTTGGTTTTTCCGACGTAGGAGATGATTCCCTGATGGTGGTGTTGCGTAGATTGTAGAGAAATGGGAGAGGGACTGGTCCACCTGGTGAATCAGTAGTTGAGGTTGGTTCGCTCATTTTATTTTACAACAAGCTGAGCTTCAAATGGACTTGAGTCCGTTTTAAACGTCTGTGTTATCGCCCACTTTTCATGATTGTTGGAAATAATCAATAAAAAGATTACACTGACTCATGTATAAGATAAAAAAAACTCTTATTAAGAATTATGAAACATAACTCGTCATTCTGTTTGATCATATCATCATCACATATCGTGCATTATGTGCACAAGAAATTCGAATCTAGTCGGGGACGCGCGAACGCATCCCCCCACGCAAAAATTTAGCTGTAGGCGAATCTCAACTCGAGACTGCCTTACGGGTCAGCCCAATCAAGAAGTGCAATGATCAGGCCTCGC